ATATTAGTTACAAATGTCAATATGTCTTTAACGTCAATGTTAATTGCACACATTGTTATTTTTTATTTCAATATTTATAAAAACATATTTGCTGTCTTTTTTTTTCTATGATTAGTTTGTTAGTGTCTTTTGTCTCTTCACTAAAAGAGTAATGTCCATTATTGCTTCTAAATAGCCGATAATCGAAGTATAAACGATCTTATTTCCATCTGTTTGCGTATTGTTGCATATTATCTCATGTTTTAATTTTTACAAATCAATACTCATGCCATCAAAGTTCAAAAGAAAATAGTCTCATTGACAGACTTCTTTTTTTGAAGGGATTCGAATGAATACAAAGTTTCGACATAGAAAATATCATAATGAACCGTATCAAATGTGTAATAATTTATATTCTCTTGATAAAATCTTGAGGGATTAATTTTATTTTCATTTGAGTGGGTCGTGAGTCAGCTTCATGCCATAGCATATACTTAGACATATCGAACGCACCCTTCGAGTTTTGCTCAATGAACACATTTGCTATAGCTAAATCGTTAACAGAGAAAGGTCTCTGTTCAAGCTCATAATTCGCATTAAAAAAATCTCGAAGTACATTCGAAGCGAACATTAAATTCAAATGAAAATTACTTGAATTCTTTCTCATTTCATACAAAACAACATACAAAAAACAAAAGCAACAATTTAGATAAAGAAAAGATCGTTACAAGATCTATCATTGATCATTTAAGAATGCAGAATAAACAATTAGTGAATTGTTCTATTAAATTATGAGAAGGAATTTTTTTCTAAAAGTTTAAAAATCACACTGGAAAATATATCTTTGTATATAATTTCTATGGATGCGATTTTAACTTTTATAAAAATCGTAAGAAGAATTTATTTTGTGTTATCAATCTCTTAGAATAGCTGTCTAATTCGAGTTTGAAACTTCAAAGGTATTTACCTACACAAAGTTAAAGATAAAGTTCGAGTAAACTATAATAATAATTTAAATAGAAGCTATCCTATACAAATAGCCGAAAATTCACGAATAAATTTTATTGCGATTACAACTATAATTGACATTTATTTTCTCTTATTTTGAACTATGATTTTTATATTAATATTCTACAGATATGGTCTTTGATTAACATTCTGATTTTCTTTATTCATTATTGAATTTATGTAAGATATTTTGTGATCAATCAATCCTTGCATTAATTCGGATAATATTTAGAGTTATAGGTCGAAAGAATATGACACAAGATCAGATAATAAACATAATGATGTCGTTTCACAACCAATCTAGTCATTACAATATGATGTATCTGCAAAGAATAACTAGCTAATATAAATTCTACCTGAAGAGATGAATTAATATAAAAATAGTTATCAAATTACTAATGATAAGATTATTTTTATGTAAAGTACTTATATTTTATTTTATTATATCTGGAAGCACATTACTTTAATACCAACCTTGATATATAATAAATCTACAGATTAATTTATTTTCTTTTGACAGAAAACGACTGACTTTATTATCAACATAGAGATCATTGCAGGTACAATAAGACATGACTATATTTCATTTGATTTTCATTCATTACAAGATTTATTATTTTCTTCTAAGAAGTTCTTCTCACATAAATATATATAAAAATCTTGGCTCTTTCTGCTCATATTCAATTAAAATTTCTTAGTTTATTACTTAATTCATTAAAACATAAATACTGAATAACTTTCTAATCCGATGATACAAAAGTAAGGAATTTCGGAATAGACTCTATGGCATGAACTACATCTATGATTAAGTTTTCAGTAATATCAGACTAAAAAAAAAAAGGGATTTTTATAGATCATGTTATATTTCAGAGCACAAATTTTTGATTTGGTGATCGGCTTGAGATTCCTAAAAAAGAGCCTGTATCATTTACAATTGATTTCTGAGCTTTTAATTCAGTTATAAGAACATTTTTTAGTGTCACATTCATAATCTGTCATGTTACTAATAACAAAACCTAAGCATGCTTAGAAAAACATCGTGTAGAGAACCAATCGAGATACATACAATAAAAAATTTTATTCTGTGATTTGTTTTTTGTATCACACGATGACGATACTTTTTTTTTAATAACTCATCCGACAAAGTCTCTAAGGCTAAGTTTTTCAATATATCAAGAATCACTCGAAGTAAATTTCATATACGCAAATTGACTTTCAGGAAAATCAGGACTTAGAGATATGTGCATTTTTATTTTGCGACATCATCTTTCTAACGATTGAAAATACTCATTCATGCATTATATAAGCGGCCTTTTGAAAAACAAATATCCCATTTTACCATAGAACACAACATGAAGAAAATATTGAAGTATGTTGACTTCAGAATTCGATTTCTAAAATTTTATTGTACTTCAATTGTGTTAAAATGCAAATCGTAGCTGGCAAAAAAATTGAAACGATGTGACATCATCATACGAACACTATAAGAAAACATACATTCACCTGGTGTTTTAAATATGTGATTAGATTCTGGCAGTATTTCGTACTTTCCTTTTGTTTTGTTGTACGACTGACTATTTAGAATAGCTATAATAACTTTTTAAAATAACGCTATGTTTGAGTAGCTCATTACATCATGAAGATTAAGAAACTAAATGTTGTTAGAAAAATAATAAGCTATTTTAAGTATCAATAGCTATTTAGCTTTTTGTTTTAATTAACTATCAAATCTACTTAGAAAAATTGTTAGTTGAATGAAGAAAAGCTTTTAAGTAGTTAGAGATTTGTTTAAATAGATGGATTTTTTTAAAGTACCTTTTTGAGTAACTAAAGTATATACTAATTTAGTAGAAACACACGTGATTTTCTAGACAGCTTATGATGAGATAAATATGAATTTCGTTTTTTCACAAAATCAGATCACTAGTTAAAATTTTCCCGTGCAGAAATACATCAATTTCTTATGAAACTAGTTTTGGTGTTCAATTATTACTTTTGCTTTCTTCAATGAATAATTCGAATCAACAATGTCCAACTTTTGAATCAACATCGTTAAACAAGTATGACTTAGACTCATTCAGCCCTGTCCTTTTCCATCAATTTTCTTTCTATTCATCATATTAGAGATCAACACACAAGAAATTCTGTTTAGATCAAATTTCGTAAATAAAATATTGAACTTTGTATAGTTTATCGATAATTCATTTGTAGCATTTAGTTTACTTTTTTTATTATAGTTAGAAACACTAGAGCTGAATAAATCAAGTTTAAATCGAATGTCACTTGACTTGTTCAACTCTTTAAAGTATATTCTTCCATTGAAATCATTATAATGCAATCGATTCATTCAAGAACATATTTAACTTTTTCTCATCTCACGTCAGTATACTTTACCTTTTAGCGATAAGTAGCTTTATGGTTTAATATACCTGCTTTTTCATATGAGTGATGAAAAGCTTCGTTTTATCAATTAACGAAAGAATTAGAATACAATGTATAAGTAAAGTGTATATAATAAAAATGGATCAATCTATGTTTGGATTTCATAACGCTGCCAACAAAAGAAAAGTAGAAAGTGTAAAGTCTTAGTTACATTTACTTTATCATATTACACAAGAATATTGGAATTCTATGGTATTATAATCTCCGTTTATTTTAATATGCTTTCTCAGATTCATTTTCTTGTGGATCTCAAATCTATTTTCGAAGAGAATAGTGAATGTAAGTTCTAAGTTGAAGTTTTACTACTCTTCTCTTTCTATTAGAAACCCTAGCAACAGAAAATGGCGGTGAATGATATTAATAACAAGGGGTTTAGACTGTTCTAAAGATTTTTTGAACGTTCCAAAGTCTTGCTCGAAATTTGATTTGTTGAAATACGTTTGAAAATTTTCTACGTAGTGCAGTTTTTGATTGTTGCATAACTTTGGGAAATAAACAATATCAGTGTTTGTAAGTTTATGAAAATATATAATAGTGTATTAAGGTCTGCTATCCATATGATGAATATGTGCAATAGGCTTATTTGTCAGCTAAATTAAGAAAAAGAAGAATAATGAGTTAATAGTAACAAGAAAAACAAAAAGAAAAATTTCTATTTGAAATGCAGAAATAAATAAGACAAATCGTTTTTCTGGTGATCGATTATCTTGGAAAACAACTATAATCTGTAAGAAATTTTTTACTTTACATATTTGGTATTAAGATAATGAAACTAAAAAACACTTGTGAGCGCTAATAATTTGTTTTTTGATCTTATAGATACTTCAAAGAATGGATAAAATTTCTTTATACAGATATGTAAGATTTTTCTGTAATTCATGAGCGCAATAAAACAATATATATATATATGTTGTTCCTGGTACAACTCAAATAAATCTCTGAATTCATAGTTGATCCAATTTGCTTTTGGTGAACTATAGTAAGACAAGGGTATTTTAATAATGTCAATCGGTGATTACTTGAAGAACTAAGTGCAAGTTCGATTAATGGCGAATTGTTTTCCATAAAAGCTATTGTTCTACATAAAACGACTCAATATGATAATCTGAACCTGACGTTTATTCTGGAGACTGATTCGAGTTTTGTGGTAAATGGGTTCCTTGATCTGACATTAGATCAGTTTAATCATGAATGCGAAATCGTTCTAGGCCAATCAAATATTGATCTATGACATGAATATATCATTCATAATGACTTGAAATTTCTTTAAATATTTACTCGATAAAAGTGGTCAAAGGTAATGAATTTTTATTCCGCTCTATTTTTTCAGTCTCAATATAAAATATACATTAATAGAACAATGTCTCTTCATTAAATTATGATTATTGTTTAGATTTTTATCTTAAAGATTTTACACACAATGTGTTTTAATTATGAAACGATTTGATAAAATTATTTTAGCAGAATTTAATTCTCTCTTATTCTACACAATCTTTATTGTGACACTACATATATTGTATAACTGTTATTTTTGTTTATCTTAGCCACATATCAAAGTATTATCAATAATTATGACCGACAATACTATTCATATACTCAATCAAGTGATCAGTCAAATAACATTATATGTTCCATATTTTACTATTATTATTGGAACCGCGGGTAGTTTTTGTAATCTTCTTACTTTCACATCAAGACAATTACGTAAGAATGCATGCGCTTTCTACTTTTTATGTTCAACAATATTTGATTTGATTTATATAACATTTGGAGCTTCAACACGTTTAATAAGCGATCATTATTCATACGTATTACCTCGTAGATCATCTGTCTTTTGTAAATGGCGAACATATTTGGCCGTTGCTATACCAGCATTAGCTACTTTTTTTCTAACACTTGCATCAATCGACCGATGTTTATTAACATCACACTCAAGAAAATGGCGTAAATTAAGTCATATTTCAATTGCTCGCTATACTGCAGTTTTAAGTATTATTTTTTAGCTATTTTGTTGTTGTCACATGATCATTTATTACGATTTACAATTAGTAGATTTGAATAATAATATATACATATGTATTCCTAGATCTGGCATTTATACAATGTTTATTAGCGCATTTATACTTGTTTGTAATACAATTGTATTTTATACAATCATGTTTGCAGCTTGTATCATTACTCGAATACATATTCGAAGATCACGACATAGTGTAGGAAGTTTAACAAGTCAAAGAGGTAGAATTCATAGGATTGATCGTCAATTAATTACGATTATGCTGTTTCAAGTTGGTATAGGCATGGTATTGAGCTCATTTCGTTCTATCTTCTTAGCATATAGTTTACTTTCGAGAAATGTACCGAAAAGTATTTACAGAATGACTGTTGAATCATTTTTGGATCAACTTTCTTTGATTATATATTATTTGAATTTTGCTAAATCATTTCTCGTCAATACTTTGACAAGTCCACTTTTTTTTGGTATCTTTCGTCAACGTTTGATCAATATATGGAAATACTTTAAGAGAAGTATGCTTTTTTTTTTGAAATTTGAAATGTTTCATTAGTATAATTGTATTCATTAAAATCTTTTCTTAGTCGATATTATTGATGATGTTTAATATTTTTTTCTTTAATTTTATTATTAAGATCATCAAGATACAACAACTCACAGTACTGTATTACGTCGAAATGCGCTCGAACTATCTGTCTACAATCGTTAATATTATCTACAATTATCTCGATTGGTGATCAATATTCATTCGTTAACTTGTTTTATATATGTTTGTGAATATAAATGGTCGTTTGTTGCAATATTGTATCGTAATAATCTCTTTAGTAAATGTTTTTCGCTTTAACAAATTGAACAAGACGAATTTCATTGAGCTACTTAAAATTATATTTCTGTTAGATTGATTTACTAAGATTTTCCTTTACAAGAATATTCCCGTTATGATCTTGTTGAAAATGAACATTTATTGAAACAAAGTAAAGTTTTCTTCATTGACGTAGTCAAACCAAAATGAAATA